CTCGCGTAAAATACAGACAGTACTTATTCAACCATTTCATTATTATACAAAACTGAAGTAACTATATTTAGTTTCTTTAATTTTAAATAATTACTCGCCCCGGTATTTGAACCCGTACCTCTCGCTCTAATGCAATGCTAGGCAACACGTTTAACCATTTAGCTACATAGAGGGTCTAGTTACATATAAACTTATTACAATTTTACGCGAATTGAAATAAATAAATAGATAAAAAATCTAGAATCTCGCCGATGACGCGGGCTCGGTAGAATTAGTTTGCACTGGTTTTGATTGGACGGAGTAATTAAACTTTGATATACGACAGAAGACGTCAAACACAGATATTACTGAGCCAAATGAATATTGACGCCTAACCGATTGCTAAAAATGTAATGGGAATTAAATGACTTTCATTGCTTATTTGAAATAAAACACTTTTGATTGTTTAAAACGCGAAAAATATTAGTTAAAAATTTTCAATTTATTTTAAATATGGCCCCATATTTCGGACGCTTTGCAGTAGCCGTGGTAAATTAGTTAAAAGTGAAGATTTTATTGTTTGTAAATCCCGTTTATTCTCGTGGGGCATAGGGCGAACACATTTCTGTGTCCGTTTCACCCATCGGTTTTATTTACAGGCAAGTAGTTGATCAGACTTCTGTGCCGTGCCCGACCGAAACAATGTATTGTTTCCCCGGGATTGGAACCAAGGACCTCTCAGGCTTAACTTGCTAGGCAACACGTTTAACCATTTAGCTACAGAGGCGGTATGTTATTGTTTACATATAGACAAAACTTGCAAACATCTGCTCCAAAACGTCATACCAATAAAAAGTTTTGAAATAAGTGAGAGAACAATATTGTAAAGCGGAGCACTGTCTAGAGTTTTACGAGTGCCTGGTTTTCGAGAGAAGGACCAGCGTATAAAAATAGGAGTAAAAGTTGCTTGCATATTTATTTTTATTTACTTTTTATGCGGCTTTGTAAAATAAAGTCGGAGTCAATTTCGTGGGATTCCATTCGACCATCAGAATTTTAGATTAGTTCTCGAATCTCGGTTTGCGATTGCGGATTCACTTGCGCATTTATTATTTGAATATTTACTATTTTTAGATAGCTCATATTGCGCATATATTGTAACTTTAAATTTTTTATCCATCTCTCTCACAGCGGAGAGGGTGTTAGAGCTTAAAACTCAGCAAGTTTCTTCGTAACGATTATTTTCACGTAATTGTTGATGATAGTCAGGACAGACAGTAGACACGTAGGTGATAGAACTATTTTTAATATCTCATGATGGTTTTAGAAACAGTGCATGAAAGACATTTTTAATTTTCGTCACTATTTTCCACTTCTAAAAGTGATGGAAAAATTTAATCTCTAAATTGATTTTAATTTTATGGAGCAGATTAGATTATTTTAAATTCTATCACTCTTTATATTTTTTATTTTACTATTAATACGATTTTTGTTTGGCTAAGTTCCCAAAGATATTTAATGAACAAACAGTTACTACCTTAACATAAAACGCTTTTAACGGTTTAAAACGCGAAATATATGAGTTCAACTTAATTACATTTATTTGCAATAGCCTTTTATATATGTGTAATATTCAAATGTGCTCTACTCGCGTAAACTGCAGACAGTGTGATACATTTTTGCAATCCACAACATAGCAATATGTTTTAATGTAACCTAAATATCACCTCACTGGCGTGCATTGTTAGTGAAAATGATTTAAAATATTTAATAACATTTTTCTACCAACAAAACCGCGTTTTAAAACCACAAAGGGACCAAAATAATGAATTTCAATGGCCGAGTTTCTTTTAGGGTAAACAATGAAGGCCTTTTAACACGTACTAAATAGAATTTCATTCATTTCTTTAACATGAAACGTAGAACTCCCTTAGTGGCCTTATTACGCATTTTGCCTTCATTTTTATTCCAGAATCAGTGTCTTATAAGACTTATTAAATTATGTAAACAAGGGAAACACAAGTTACATTATATATGTATACTGTCGTGCTTTGAAAGTATTTGCACGAATGATTTTGCAACTCAGGTTGATTGTTCATCACTTTACACCTTCTGACTTTGTTGATATACTTTTTAAGTTCAATCTTTATTGAAATTATTTCTTTGATATCTATTTATTGTAGCCCAAATGTATATATAACATTACTAATCAACGTCTGTGATTTGAATAAAATATTTTTAACAATTTAAAACGCATGAAAACTTTAACAATGTTTCACATGATGCCACTATATAAATCGATAAAAAAAAAATTACAACACGGCAGGTCTTGATCCGGCATCCACAGCGCTCTGTACTGTTACCAACAACACACAGCAGCTCAATTGGTTAGAGCAACAGCAAGGATCGCTGTGGATGGATTTTTTCGATAATCGATTTTTAATTTAGTTTAAAACGTATTTAGAAGCATCATGCATCACATCCAAAGTATCCAAAATGTCGGGTCGTAAAATAAAACTTTTACATTTTGCGATTATACTGAGGTAACTTAAAGTATACCAAAACTTGAGTTTCAAGAATTAGAGAAAACGACCCAAAAGTCATTACATCGGATTAGTAGCGAAGCCCTAAGTCGTCTTAACTCCAAGGAAAAGTATTAAACGTAAAATAACACACTCCCGGCGCCGATCGAACTTGCCAGAAGGTTGATGAATCCCGGGAGATATACTCAATTGTTTAGTTCTGCTTTAATTATCTCAATCGACGACTGCCAAATGAACCTCGTGCAAACATCTTGAGCGCTTGCAAAGTTTACGAACGAAAATATTATTCCCAAGTCGTCTATAAGGCTCTCTTTCTATTGCCTTGCTGTGCTATAAAATTATAAATATCTTATCCTTCTTGCATTTTATAAATAAATATAAACTTATTAGAAAACTTACGTAGTATAAAGTGTTAAATACATATTTTATTTATTCCATAATTACTAAAGATTCTGATGCCTATAATAAATGAAAATATACAAATTGTAAAATTATTTATCTATTTAATAAACTTTATAAAGACCACAGAACTTATTCTGAATACAAAAAAAAATATGAACTAGCTTATAAATAAAAGGCGGCGGCGAGGAAAAAAATACAACTATAAACTTTCGAGATTTTTCGTGTTTAAATAAAATATAATGTCGGCTTACTCATTAACTAACTAAATATATTATCATGAAACAAGTAATATATTTTTAGTACCCAATAATAGATTAAAGCAAATGCGTATGATAAAATATTTGTAACATACAATTACGTTAACATAACAATCATACAAACCCATGCAGTACATACATATGTACAAACCAATGCTAAATGATTCAAATCATGTTTGTAAGATATTTGTTTTTCAAAGAATACTATCTTCAACTGTTTTACCTGTATGATATTATCTGTATGTATAATACATACATGTACATAACATGTATGTATCTACACAGTTCGTCATGGTCATGGTATACAAATAAACAATAAGCTACGTATACGACTTCGCGATACACTAATATAGTACATCCCCCTTGTGCTGCGCTGGTTATGTGTCTCCGTTGCTGGTTGAGCCGTTCGCGCCTTCCAACTTGATGGCAAAAGCTCTCATTACCCAAACAATTCAATTAACATTGTACACAGGAGGGTTAACATTTCACGGGATACTGGAGTAAAAACAAATAAGAAATAATGTTGTCTGTAGTCTACACGAGTAGTCCACATATCAACACTATTAATGGTTTAAAACGCGAAAAGCGTCACTAAGATTCATTTAGATTATATTTTTTTCATGTTTTAAGCCGTTATAACTGTTTTATGTGAAGCAAATCATATATTCACGTCAAACTATTTTGTCTGTGTACTTGGAATAATACTCGTAGGATAGTTGAAGTTGTAATAGAAAAAAATGTTGTTGTATTGTATAGATTATTTTAGTAGTAGAAACTTACAAGCACTGACAGGATGTGAATAAATAAATGTAATGGTATGTAATTATGCCCGTTACCAAGAGATTTGTCTCGGTGGTAAATAAGTATCTTCCTACTGCAGTTAATTGTAGTTACTCAATCTCATTCTCTATTCACAGGGCCTTCCTGAGAATACTCTGTGTGTGCTGTCCAAGAAAATTGCGGAGAAAATACCAACCTCAACTGCGCTTCAAGCAATCTCAGGTAATTTTAAAATAGACTTGCATAGAGTATAACTGAGACATTTATTTTTATCCACAGACTGAAAGCTCATTCATTCTTAACACAGACACGTGGCCTCCCACGTGAAGGGGTTTTATACTGTGGTCGTGCATTTTATCTGTGGCGTTGTCAATTTTAGTATAGTATAGTTTGTATTCGTTTTGTAAAAGTAATGAGTTTTAAGATGACAAAAGTAGCGGTTGGTAATTAATTGCATTGTTAAAGTTTTAATCTGATGAAAATTATATTTTTAAACGAGAGACACAATTATAATTATAGAGCTTATTTAAATAAAACACTTTAACGGTTTAAAACGCGATATATTATTTAAACTTATTTGAAGATGATTTTTAACTTCGGCCCGGTGTTTCGGATGTTTTACAACAGCCATGATAACGAAGGGAACTGAAGGTAGAGTGTGCTATTTATTTCATCGTAGTTATTTGGAGGGACGTAGGAACAAATGGTAAATAAATTAATTAAAACCGTTAAAACTTATTTATATAAATACGATATAGGTAGACTTTACATTACTTTATTTTTCAATGGAAGTGAACGTATATAACTATACTTCGCTACGGCGCTGGCTTTATTTATTCATCGAAAATTACCACCATGATTGCTTCTTGGGCGATTCTCATCTTTGAAAGGCAGGCGTATTTTTCATCATGATTTAAGTAGGTTGTCTTTTACTTTCAGTGGCGCACGACGAAAAGATATTACTCGTCGGGCGAGCTTCAGGCCATCAGGCAAAATTCCTGCGAACAGACGTATATATAGCGTTACCCCGACCTGTATTCTATAAGTGCCTTTTACCCGTTGTTCTGGAATATAGTTTGTACAAATTGAGGTACGTGATGGAATCCCCCGAGTCTTGATTCTCTCCGTCTACTTCTATTCGTCTTCCAAATGCATGGTATCCTTCGTTTGTGTGTATATCTGAACCTGTGACTTCATCTGCGTGGAGTCTTTCCATTTTAGGGGTATCCCATATCTGTGCTATACAATAAAAAAATATAAAGTAATTTTAGTAAATATAAAAAAAAATACAATTTCTTTTACACATTTATAAATTAAATAATTTACTAGTAAGCTATAAAACATCACCTCTATCGTTAAATGTGTTGCCTATCATGCGTTAACCATGAGAGATACTGGGTTCGAATCCCGGGTATCAATTTTTTTTCGATTGAACAGGACACAGAAATTGAACTTTGTCATTAAAATTTTGTTCAGCCCGTCCCCCAACGAAGAAAATGGTTTTCACGCTTTCTATAAAAGATTATATGTGTTTCCCCTTTCTCATGTTTGTCTGTCACCTTGTTCTGTCGTCAATTTTGTCTCCGCACATTCCATGCATGAACCCAAAGTTGTCTATGTTGTATTGTCCTGGAAATGTCTAACGTCGTGCATGTCTTCTATCTCAATGCTGTCCTGATCAAACAATTTAATCTGCATCTGTTAATTGATTTTTTCTTCTTAAGCTGTTACCCTTGTATTCGGGTCGCTGTGTTTAAAAGGTGAAAACAAATATAAGTAAGTGTCGAAATATCGTCTTCAAAACAATGTATTTGCTAAATTTATTAAACTACATGGTAAATTTATTTCAAATAAGTATTTACTAATTTCACTTCCTACTTTAATAAAATAATCTTTTACTATCAAGTAAATACAAAACTTGTCGCGAAACTTAATTATTGTAAGTAATCATCTTCAGTATTTTTTAACTTGCTTAACTTTTATAAGACATATAATAATAATTAATTATTATAAAATAACTAACAAAAATACAGTGAAATAAACGCATACATTAGAGAGATTTTTAAATTTAATTCTTCTTTTCAGTCATCATTATCTAGAAACTCTGATTAAAAATGAATAAACCAACATATTTCCCTTTGTAAACCGCTTAAAATGATTTACTTAATTTCTACTATTTACGTACGGACAATGAAAATAAACTCCGTATATAAGTTGATAACAAATTCATTGTCCCCAAGTTTATGAAAGTTTCAGCATAACAAAGTGCTATAAAACTATTGCGTCGTCATATTTCTTATCCAATATACTCTGTGGCGCGTTGCAATTTTTCTATTCCACTAAATTTTCATGAGACATTCTCGTGTTCAGCGAAGCGACATGTACCCTGTACGTGATTTTAAAATTAACTTCGCAAATTCTAATATAAACGCGGATTTTGGATTTACATAACCTCTGAAATTATAAATTCGTTGTGTTCGCCCTGACTACATTTGCCGTTTATTCTCTTTTAGCATTCTATTCTTAACAAATTACCTTTTGATTTCTTGAAACATTTTTAAAAAGCTACCGTGTCTTGAGTACGATAGCTCAATTGGTTTTTAATTTTGAATTTACATAAACGTATACATATATCTAACATTTAAATATAATAAAGGTAACCTATATCTGGAAAGCGTAAAAGACACATATTTAAGTTATTTTAGAAGTATACCAATATAGTAACAACTCGGTACGCGTTGGGTTCGAATCCAGACTGTGTGAATTTGATAATTTGACCTTCAATATTTAAGGACTTAAAGTTTATTTCTTTACAGTATCCAGTAACAACGATGATGTACTCATCAGTGTCGCAACACGAGATGTGTCGCTTGTGACAGCAGGCCAGAGCTGGCAACTGCAGACCAAGAGCCAGGTGCTCCTGATGCCAAAACCGCCGCTCCATGAGGAACGGCGACAAATACACGGGAAAGGAACCCTTCGAGGTCCCAATTGGCTCTATACATTGCATAGATAAGTTATATCAAGACTCAGAATCCGTTAGCGAAGTGAGTCTCGAGAGTGAGAGTCGAAACTCACTTAAACGCAACATGAGCAAGCGAGTCACTTACCAAATCAAAGCTGATATATCGAGTTAGCTATGAGTACTTTTATACATTCCTTGTAAAACTGTTTAGCTTATTAAGATACTATAGAGATGTGTATTAGGTAACTGTGTAAATAAATAAATACAGAATTCTATAAATTTTATGTAACTTACGTATATTTATTCAGTTGTTTGATCTAAAAATCTTCCAAATAATGCTTAAAAATGTAAACTAAACACTTGCTTTTAATTAAGTGAGCTTTAAACAAAATTTACTTTTACATAACAATGTTCAATACAGTTAAAGAGTTTGTTGCGAAATTGATTTGATAATTATTTATTTATCACTTGCTGTGCTTACAACTACTTTGCGAAACGAACAATATATTTTATTAAAGGCGATTAAATTCGACGGCTTTTTCATCCATCGACGACGGTTCGTGACTCGGATGGAATTTAGATACTCCTATCACCCATAAAAAAAAATATTAGACGCCGGGCTTTACTTTCTCTCAGCGATATTAATGACTGGACATTATTAACTGAATTACCGGTTAATTCACTCACAGTTAGTTAAACTATTAAAGCCTACCAACCTGAAGTATTGGAGGATGGTGGGTCTTCAAATTTCCTATGAAAGATGAGACTCCTACTTTAATATTGTATTATGCGACTTTCCTGTGAATGTTTTTTTTCCTATGTAGATCTATCTAATCCTAATCAAGCTGTATACTATATTCTCAATCAGGATCTGTGATTTACTACTTAGCTGTGTAAATAATATTTATAAACTGCGTAGTCTAATTGTACTATCTTTAAGCGTTTGATATAACAATTTTAAATGTTACACTATATGTTGACATTGAAACGTAGTGCGTGTACTACAACAGGTGACATACATTATGTTTTACACAAATATCAAAGACATAGATTGATGTAGATTTGAACAATGTTAACAATTTTTTATCACAAAAAAACATTTAATTTCTAAATTCGTATATTTAAAATTGTGTAAATATATTGAAATATTTTTCCTATTAATCATAAGGACGATTGTACAGAGAAATCAATTTAAAATAATTTCGGTATCCGTAAAATAAATATAACTAAAGCGATTTCTTCCGTAGTAAGTTTAAATTTAAAACAATATGTAATTAAAATTAGTGGTAACTATTGTAATGTTTTATATTCTATCTGTCGATATTTCATATTGTAAATAATGTAATTCTCTGCTTTATTTTCGGATCTCAAGCAACACCTAATATAAATGTGTAAAATTCTTAGAGATTACAAAATTCTAAATGGGTTGTAAGTTTGTATAAAATATTTTTTCTAGAAAATGTCTTTTCGTAGCCCCTGGCTTATCTCCTTGTCCTTAAGATTTCTTCGATTTTTTATTAGTTTATATGTATATAAATCTTACCAAGCAATAGTATAATGATTTAGGATACTGAATTTCAAGGGAAAATACAAAAATGTTTTGACCGATAAACATTACAATATGTACGATAAGCATGCGCTCTTGATAGAAAAATAATATTCAGTTCGGTATGAACTTATATTTTTAAACTACATTGCACATGAAAGATTCTTCATTCTTAATTAAATTAAACAAGTATTTGAGACTGAAATAATTTATGACACGGTTGGGGCTCAAACCCACGATCACTAACCTATCTATGAAGGTGTCTATATAAAAAATTAAAGATGGTTCTTGTGTATTGAAACTTCAGAGGAATTAACTATATTAGAAAAATATTAAATTCAAGATAATTTATATTCAAAATGACACGACAAACTCCGCTTGGCTCCGAATTGTTACCTTAGACATATCATTAGAAAAGATTTTCTTTGAATTCTTCCAAATTATAAGCCTCATAATGACATCCTTTATTTTTCCGTTTTAATAGGACGTCATTGTTCAGAGGCTATTGAAGTAACGGATTAGGAAACTCGCTCGTAAGCACGTAAATATAACTTGTAGAAGGTCGCTTAGAAAAGGAATATATATGTGTTACGGATATCAAGATACGGTATATATCTAATATTTGACACCGAAACGTGTAGTAAAGCAACCAAACTTTACACAATCATTTACTCTTTAACACAAATATGGTACCTAATCTCGTTTATCATTGCGAGCTACATTTCTCTATTCAATATTCAAAAAAGTGAAATCCCGTTTCCGCTCATGGGGCATGGGGCGATCACTTTTCTGTGTCCATTTCACTGATCGACTCTTTTACAGGCAAGTCGGTGGTCAGAATTCTGTGCCCTGCCCGACCGTAACTTTCTATTGTTTACCCAGTATCTCGCGCTAGACACATTTAACCATTTAGCTACAGAGGCGGTCGCTCAATTGTACTTACACGTAAATAGTTTGTACCCTGCCTATCAAAAACTGTTTTATAAAGTACAAATTTATTTAGATTGAAAAATAATATAATTGAGCTACCGTTTTCCCGGGATTCAAACACAGGAATACGCCCTTTATTATGCTAGGTAATGCATTTCCATCAAGCCAAGTTAATTCGAGCTTTAGTCAACTACCACAGATGTAATAAAGTACTTAAATAAAGATTATATCATAACTACGCATAACAAAGCACTGTTGTGATTCTTAAGAGGTAGGGAACCCTCTCGCCGTCTTAATTATATTAAACGTGGCTATATTTTGATTCTATTGAAAGAGGATCTGTCTATCGGGGGTTAAAAATGAATGAAAATCCATTCAATTTCACAGCCGCTTTTTCTATCAACGTTTTGAAATAGATTACTATGGAACTTCAAAATAAAGCCGGTTATCTTAATCCAGAGCTGTATGAATGTTAGCGAATTAACTTGTCAATTCCGACAAACTATTAATCCTCTTATAAAAAAATCAATCAATCTTCTGAACAATAATTCTTAACTGGACAGTTAAAGAATTATTGTTGACAAGATTTATTTAAGATCTGTTAGGGTAATTAACGTTGAATGGAAAGATTAGATGAATCAGTGGAAAACATTTTTATTTATTAAAAGTATTCCTTTACACTTAAAATTGCACGAAGTAAAAAACAATAGTTTTTTAAGCGCCAAAATATTTTTATTCATATTAAACAAACAGCTGTTTATGTGCAAACCAGTCGAAATTAAATTAAAACCTTTAATAAGTTACCTCTTTGGTCGCCATGTTGCTGAGTAGAAGATTGTTCCATTTTTAAATTACACGAAATATGATTTATATAGTAATTTTGCGACAAGTAAACAAAGTTCGATTTATCGTAGAAGGTTGTCAAAATAATCATCAAATTTCCAAGCAGATTAAGGAAAAAAAATGATCACCTATATTATTATTATTATGTATTGTAATATCTACCAAAACCATATTTACCAAACCTTCTATATCAAACGCAGAATAAAATAAAAATTACTAATAATTAATGTTATCAACAAGTTTTTTTTTCTTAAAAACCGTATACTGCTTCAAGGCATATTCTAAATCTTAAATCTGAAATTGAGGCAACAACTCGATCACATCACAAAGCACAAAAGGTTTCAACATTGGGCCCCTGAAACTGAAAGCGGTTTACGAGGTGAGGTGATTAGAAGTAGTTCAGATAACGGTAGTCAAGTGTCAGGTTACCGCTAAACTTTGACAATTATGGCTTCAAGTGTGCCTAAATACCCACTTGCAAATAATTTGTAAGCAACTACGAAGTTTTGCTATGTCCAGTGTAATTATAATATCATATAACGTACAGATCTTTTAAGTAGTATTTCATTGTAAATGTCATACTATTATCCTTTTTTAAACATGAAATTTATTTGTTAAATTTTTTCTCATTCAAAGTAATTTAGGAAGCGCGTTATGACAACTTTTAAATAGTTTTAATAAGCAAGTACTGTCTGTAGTTTACGCGAGTAGAACTCATTCAAATAAAACATCTTAAACTTTTAATATTAGTAACTTTTTTATTTAATTTAACAACGGCCAGTTTCCGAAGCTTTGTCACAGTCATCGTCCCGCGATCACCTTTACACACATTTATTTAAGTTCAATAAGTTTGTTAGTTTAATGTTAACATTAAACTAACAAACTTATTGAATAATTTTACTTAGCAATCACTAAAACCGATTACCATTATACTTTTTTAATGTTTTTTTACAAGTACGTACTTTAATTACTTTGACGGTCGGTAGGCACTAGGCTTACCGTCCGTATATCAGTAATCAAATGCTTAGTACATAGGGGTGAATAATCGTCAAGCACAATGCAGATAGGCTAATGACTATGTCAGTTACATTGTAATGAATATGCGATCATCCATTTCCTATTGTACTCCTACTACCAAGTAAGTACAGCTACATTTCAATCAAGTGTCGCTGCCTACAGATGGTAAACGAAGTCTTTTTCTTCCTCTTTTTCGTATATCAGAGAAGAACAGAAACGCGTGGAGGTTTCCCGTCGCAGCGTATAGCCTTCCTCTAACCGACGCAAAAATAATTTTTCAATTCGAGCCAATACTTCCTGAAATAAGCATTCAAACAAACAAACCCTACAGCTTTATATATCAATATAGATGTAAACAAGACGCACTGTCGATCTACTTTATGGCTTACGATGTTTACAAATCGATTGACTGAAATAAGAATGACACTTCACATCTTAACTTAAAAATCGAAAATAAATTGAAAAAAATTTCGACTCGGGCAGGACTTGAACCGGCATCGTCAGCGTTCCGTGCACACGATTTTTTTTTTCCTCCCCGGGTGCAAAATCTTTATTTTTCAAACTCCACATATTTTCCTCTGATGTCTGTGGTTTGTAACTGAAACGAAGCTTTGATGTTCTTCTTCTCGAGACGTAGTTTATAATGTTTCAAAAAAAAAATATAAATTTAGTGTTGTAAAATATGAACATGTTTATTGTGGTAGAATCTTTGACCCATTGATTAATTGTTATTAAATACTGTCTACTACTAATGATTTTTAACTTCGGCCCGACGTTTCGGATCTTTGGC